AGACAGAATTACCTCCTCTCCTAGGTTCACGAAACGGTCGTCCATAAAATGCATTGCTGTTCTGTTGTAAGCAGTGTTCGAACTATACTGTGGACTTTGGGGGAGCCCACTTGTTTTTTTTTTTATAATGGGGGGGTTCGTGCGCTTGCGCGTGCCTCAAAAGGGGGCTTCCAATGAATTACAAAGATACATAACCAGCAATGAATGGTGTGAAAACCTAAACAATACAATATAAAACAACAGTGTCAGTTTATGGACAGTATTAATGTGCGCACATACCCCATGTTGTTTCTCATCTGATTTACTGTGATGTGAAGTGTGCCTTGATAATTCTATAAAGAATTATAGATAAATAAAAACACATAATGAAAGACAAGAACACTCAAACACTCTTCACAAACATTGTCCACATGTAACAGATAAATATATACAATAGAAGTGCAAACTTAGTTTACAAAAGAATTCAATTTACAAAGCAGATTTTAAGACAACTTACTGTTGGTTGGTTCTCTTGTCCTTTTTTCCTAATTGAGATGGTATGGTTTTACAATGTATTTACAACTATATTTACAGTTGAATATAATAATAATACCTACGTTTCATTGTTTTTATACAGTATGTTAGGGTTAGGGTTACTATTACATTAAGCAAATTTGTAATTTAGCTATTTAGTATTTTAATGAGTGAGAAAGAAGATCTGCAAGAAGGGTGCTGATTATTGAAAGGCAGTTTGTCTTTTAATGTCTTCCTTTCTACATTGTTTTACAATATTAAATTCATAAGAGTTTAATATTATTTGAAGGATAATTTAGCATGGATAATGTGAAGGTAAAAGTTATGCTCTCTTACCTGATTTCCTTCTGGAAATATTGGTGACTGACTCATAGACTGCACACCAGAATGTATCCTCACTAAGAAAAACATTACTCATGTGTAAATAGGTTTGTATGAAAATGAGGTTCTTACTAATAAACATCTAAGTGCACAAATACAATTACAAAAATCATTCCCCCTCTGTAAAACCACCATCCCCCCTTACCATCCCCTTTAGATTAATAATGCTGTGAGTATTATGTAAAACTTATCGTGCAAATTAAATATTAACGTTCTCTACGTATAATTTATTAAAACTAAATAACGGCGATTGGCCAATTAGAACTCAGTATTAACCAGCTGCGCGCGAGCTCACTCATGATTTCGTAATTTTTGTGCAAAATGTTTCGAGCGCAACTTCTGACGTTCTTTAAAAAGAAGATAACATAATAAGGTATCATATTTCCTTAGTGTTTAAAGACATTCCGCTGACATAATTATTTGTGCTGTATATGTGTGACTGTGAGGAGGGACAATACTGAGAGAGAGAGCCGAGGGATGCGTTTATTCAGAAATTATCACCCTTTTCTAATTCACGCTAGTCAGTGACTTTGCAAAAAATAAATTGCTCAAACTTAGAGCTCCTGATTAGGGGTGTTTGATATTTATCGTCTATGATAATATCGTAATTGTAGTTTAAAGGCCGGGACACACCAAGCCGACTTCAAAGAACTAGCGACGCTGAAAGCCGACGGTGTTGTCGCCTCACGTCGGCAGCGTCGGACCAAAAAGCTTCGCTCGAACACACCGCACAGACTACAGCCGACGGCAAACTAACACGTGTGTTCTGCGCATGCGTGAGAGGAATTAACGGTCTATATAAGCAGCTATCAATAGTATATATTCATCATTCAAAAGGAGAAGCCGAAACAAAGTTATACAAGATAAACATAGATATACGAAACATAAACAAAGCAGGGCTTGCTTACCATTTTGAATATCAGTTGATAACTTTAATCATTTTAAGCGGCTCATGTTGTTATGAAAACATTCCCGTATTAGAATAATTGGGAAAGATCACGTAACATTTAAACAGCCTTCTGTCTGTACCGCCTTCATTTACGTGCTTGTTTTCATCACTTTCACTTCAATTCTTGGGCACTGACTCATTCGCTAAACTGAACATCCAATCAGAGCTCTCACTCGCGCCGACACTCCCGACGGTCCCGACGGCGATTCAACATGTTGAATCGGGCAAACTGCCTGCGACGTGAGCCCGACGAGAGCCGACGAGAGCCGACGAGTGGAACACACCAAACAAACTAGCCCGACCGTCACTCGCCGTCGCCCTGACGGTGGCCAGTGGCCGACCGTCGGCTTGGTGTGTCCCGGCCTTTAAAGATGTGTGCGAGCTGACATCGAGTATACCATTTACTTTGCAAAAAACAAACAAAATCACGTCTTGAGAGTCCAAAAGCATTCATTGCACGATGAAGCCTATTTATTAGAATGCAGTTAGAATGCCTCTGTAATTCAAATAATGAAAGAAATACTGTATATCCCTATGTGAGTCTTTATTTATTTTTTTATCTTTATGTAGTTAAGTAATATCAAACAAGAATCAGCACGTGTGCTTGATCGCAAATGTTAAATTAATTTCATACAGCACTTCAACAGACAAGAAGTTGATTGAGTGGGTTACATTTTAGACTGATTTGGTCTTTTTTCATTTTGCAAATATAATAGTTCCAAACAAAGCCAGAGCAGAGCTGAGGCCCCTTTCAGAAAGGAGGTTAAGTGAAAACTCTGAGTATGTTAACCCTGAAATGAGGGAATCTCTGGCTTCCCCTTCTAGGGAACTCCACGCTGCGCCACCTAGGGGGCACATTGGGGAATGCAGCCTGCATGACCGGTGTCTGAAGCATGTGTGAAACAACGGCAATCTATTGGTCCACCTGGCCTATGACGTCATAGGCGGGGTGCCCGGAAGTATAAAAGGGCACCTGCTGGATACGTCATCCTCTTTGCTGTCTTCAGGAGCCGTCTTTTGCGAGCAGTGTGTAAAAGAGTACTATGTCTGTCAACCCGGGTGAGCGTTTCAAGAAGTGCGTGCCTCCGTGTCCTAGGCATTTGACACCTGAGGACACGCACATTATGTGCCTGGGGGAGGAGCATGCGCGTTCGGAGCTTGAGGGCTCCGAATGCGTGCATTGTGAATAATTTTCTATGTGAAAGCTCCGATCACATTTGTCTCTTTTTTTCAGCAACTCCATATGTTGGATGTGATGGATCACGCCACTAAGCGGCTCAATCTGGCTTGGACATGTGAGAAGCCTAAGCCGGCTCGCGGCCGACTAGATGTCTAGTCTTCCATTTCTCCCAGATCTCCACTCAGAGATATCTAAATCCTGGGGGAAACCGTATTCCTTTCGGTTGCATCCCTTTCAACACACTGACTATGCTAATGTTGAAGGTGTGGCTGAGCGCGGATATGCAAGGATGCCCCCTGTTGAAGAGACGTTTGTGAGCTATCTCTCGCAGGGTGAGTCAATTTCTTTAAAGACTTCTGCCTTGCCGTCAGTAGTGCTTCAGACCACCTCGCGCTGGAATGGCAGGGTGTATGTGGCAGCGGGTCAGGCTGGTGGTGCTTTGCACACCATGGTGGTGTTACAAGCCTATCAGGCTGACTTGCTGAAGGATTTGGATAAGGGCAGAGGTTTGTCACCTGAGGCGGTCGAAGAGCCATTGAGCGTTCAATGGTGGCTACGGAGAAACATCTGTGGATCAATCTCATGGTCATCGGGAAGAAAGAAAAATACTTTCTCCTCGATGCTCCGCTTTCGCCGGCCGGGCTTTTTGGCACTTCCATCGAGGAGGTTGTGGAGAAGTTCAGGGAGGCGAAAGCACAATCGCTGCTTTCAGGAAATTCATTCCTCGGCACTCCAAATCCTAACTTAAGGGGGATGATCAGTCTAGAACTGAGGCTCATAGACAAGATCAAAAGTCTAGCGTTGATAACCACGCCCATCCTCCCTCTAGGAGTCGGCAAGGAAAGCCTACTGCTAACAAAGGGAAAAAGGATCTCAGGAACATCCTAGATAAGAAGCACGGTCATCTTCCACGTCCCGAGGCTGGGGCTTCCTAATCATCTTTCTCCCCTAATGATCATGATGACTAATGGCGGCGGTGTTGCAACAATATATAGTGATATTCTCAATGTTACTCAGAAGACAGGACACAGGTTTAACTCATTCGAAAGATTTGTATCGTGAAAAGCGCTGTACAAATAAACTTGACTTGACTAATGATGTTTTATATGTTCGCTCTGAACAAATCATTTACTGATGGTCTTAGTCTCCCTCTTGTGAGCTTCTGGTCAATAACACAATGGTTCGCTAGCCTGTGGGACTGACCCGGTTTGGGGACCCGCATATTATAGCCATCTGAGGATGGTTATATTCCAGCCCTGCTATGGTAGGGTGGGTTTACTTAAATTACAGCCATTCGAGGCTGGCTGTGTTTTTAGCTGCAATTAACCCTTTCCAGACCATAGCTATCTGAGGATAGCCGTTTGGTAGCATAGTAAACCTTTTGGGTTTACTTAGACAGTCACTGCTGGTGACAATTGCAGTGGTCCCCTTTCCTAGAGTCAAGCTATCTGAGGATAGCTGTCTGCTAGCTCGGCCCCTGCTTAGAGTGTAAGGAGCGGTCTCTTGAGCCCTTACCTAGACAGTGCTGTCTCCCCTCTTTAAATAACATTAAAGAGGTGTGTCTCCCCTCTTTAAATAACATTAAAGTGGTGTGTGAACTTGCAAGTTCGATGTCAGACACTGTAATATGCTCTGGTCCCCTCCCTGCTTACCGTGGTGACGAGATATATAGCAGACTGTCGTCACTCAATGGCTGGATGTCATTTTTTTTTGGATGACGCAGAATAAGGTTTCATAGACAATTGGACGAGTTTTTGGGGCAGACCTGACCTGTTGAAAAGAGATGGTCTTCATCCCTCCAGGGGTGGTGCCACTCTTCTCTCTAGAAATATGGCACATAGTCTTAGAGTTTGTACTTGACTAACTGGGGCCCAGGTCAGGAAGCAGACAGATTGGCTAAACAAACCGTTAGACTGCTAGCCACCTCACATCACAGAAGTCAGTTAATTCTCAGCACATAGAGACTCTTTCACCTACATATCATACTATAGAGACTGTGTCTGTTCCCGGAACTAGCAAATACAAAAAATGTCCAAAACAATTTAAGGGTAATAATTTAATTGATGTTCAACCAATAAAAAACAGATATAATACAGATAAACCATTGATAAAGCTTGGCTTAATGAATGCTAGAACCCTTTCAACAAAAGCGCTTTTTGTAAATGAAATGATCACAGATCATAACTTAGCTGTGCTCTGTTTGACAGAAACCTGGCTAAAACCAGATGATTACATTATTTTAAATGAGTCTACCCCCCAAGATTACTGTTATAAACATGAACCGCGTCCAAAAGTTAAAGGGGGAGGTGTTGCTACAATTTATAGTAATATTTTCAGTATTTCTCAGAGCTCTGGTTTCAAGTATAATTCGTTTGAAGTAATGGTGATTCAAATAACATTACCTAGAGAAACAAGTGTTAATGATAAATCCCCTGTGATGTTTGTACTGGCTACTCTATACAGGCCACCAGGGCACCATACAGACTTTATCAAAGAATTTGCTGATTTTCTATCTGAGCTAGTGCTGGCTGCAGATAAAGTCTTGATTGTTGGTGATTTTAATATCCATGTTGATAAAAAAGATGCATTGGGATCAGCATTTATAGACATTCTGAATTCCATTGGGGTTAGACAACACGTGTCAGCGCCTACTCATTGTCCTAATCATACTTTAGATTTAATACTGTCACATGGAATTGATATTAATGGTGTTGAAATTCTGCAGCAGAGTGATGATATCTCGGATCATTATCTAGTCTCGTGTACACTCCATATAGCTAAAGCTTCAAATTCAACTCCCTGTTACAAATATGGTAGAACCATCACTTCTACCACAAAAGACTGCTTTGTAAATAATCTTCCCGATTTGTCAATTTCTCAGTATATCC